AAAAAAAAAAAAAAATAAAAAAAAAAAAAAAAAAAAATCCGTACGGAATCGCCTATTCACTGTTCGGACTCGCCGATTCCGTACAGTGAATCGGCGATTCACTGTACAGAATCGTCCGGTTCTCTCTAGAACCGGACGATTTCCGATTTTTTGGGCGATCCGGTCCCTTTTCACGATTTTCCGAGTCGAACCGGGCGAGTCCGGTTCGACTCGGCGTTTTTTAAAACGCTGGTCTAGACTGAAGCGAGGCGAAGTTTCAGGACATTTATTTTAGCCTGCTTCGGGGGGCTTCAGTCCACATTGGTTGTATTCGGCCTCTCACAAAATAGTCTTTATTATTATTATTATTTTATTTTTCATTTGTTTGTTTTTTAAATTTTATTTTTTTAATAGATTTTTTGATATAAGTAATATATTTTATTATATTAATTTTTTAAAAAATTCCTTCCAAATTTGTTGCCGCACCGAATGCCTTCGGTTTGTCGACCAAATTAAAGAAGACTCCTAAACAAATCCGACAACAATGGTGCAAACTAATGATTTAAAAAACATCATATCGGCACGGAATCGCCTAATCCGACCTAGGAATCGGTTACCCCATATTGATTCTATTAATATATAGGAAATCGTTCGGGTTTAGAAGAGGACCAACAATTTGCTATTGTAAAACAATATTTTGCTATAATAACAACAGTGTTTTGCGATAGTGAAAACGTCAATTTACCAATCCGAATAAGTTTTTGGTCGGTTCACTGTTTTTGCACATATTTTTTTGCCTGTTCACTATTTGTTCTGTACAGTAAAATGGTGATCAAGATTACGAATTCATCGATCCAGACCGATTTTTACGATGCCTGATCTAGGTGACTGATCCGTTGTTAAATCACCGGTGCAAACTGGGGCGCTTGCGTAAGTATGCATTGAAGTAGGAACGAGTCGTATGCAATGAAGTAGGAAGGAGTCACGCACGTTTTATATTCACGGACTATTAGAAAGAGTTTTCCTTTGAAATTGAGATGAAGCAAAAGTACATACGTAAGCTGAAGCGTGTTGAAAAAGATATTTTTTTTTTTTTTGACAAGAATTTATAAAGACCATTGTTGTTAAATAATATAGGAGCACAGAGGTCAAAATTCAAACTTATATGCTGAATTGAACTAAACCAGGGAATGTTCAGCATAAATATTCCTCCACAGTCCTATGATGATGAGCACAGGCTCCCCCTAGTCCTATCAAAGGTGGCTTTGAATCCTGTTGAAGCATCATCCACACACTTCTTCTGTGAACTTGGGTAATACAGGTCAGGTTCCACCTCCCATGAAAATTCAAATGTATTTGGCTTTCCATTTGGGCTTCATTGAATTTTTAGTTCCCATGAATACTGTTGTATCTTTTGGGTTCTCTTCTGAGCACTTTGGCATGTCATCTATTTTTATCGTCCTTTGCATTTGCTTCTCATATTAGGGTGGTTTTGTGCTTTTTCTTTATGCTCTGTTTGTTTATGGTTTGTCATATTCGAGATTAGAGTTAAGAACCAGAGTTAAATCTTCATCCCCTTAAGCTTAAATTAATATGCTCATCAAAATGCATAGCATTCAGGTTTGTGAAGTGGCGAGCAGAGTACTATGATCGGAACCAGTCCATCTTTTATTATTGCAACAAGAATGTGAGATATTTTTGTTGTTGCACATGACTTAGCATGTTATCTGATAATAGTGATATGTAAATTTTGTTTCTGCGATAGTTGAGCTATTTTTCAGTTGACAGATGTTGTGTAGGGTTCACTTGTAGGCATGTAACATCCTGCTTTATTGCTGTTCTTACAGTTTTTTCATGCTAAAAGATCCAAATTGAAGTCCAAAAAGATATGAGATATCTTCAATCATTGGTTGCTGGAGCTTTATATCTCCTCATTGTAGCCATGAGGACCCTAGGTGATCCGCGTAATACTGAAGTAGCCCGTCTCTGTAACTCCACTCAAGATATGGATCCTATGAGGCTAGCCGAAAATTGTCGAAGGATTATGGACTCTCTCAATGACCAGATTGCCGATAAGGGTTTTGGATCTGCTGTCTCTGGTAATGAGAGCTGGAAACTATATGGGCTAGCTCAATGCATGGGGGATCTGTCAGAGACGGATTGCCGACTCTGTTTTGCAAGTTCAAGGTTAAGTATTCCTTCATGCCATCCATCAGTTGAAGGAAGAGTTTACATGGATGGATGCTTCTTAAGATATGCTGAACATGATTTCTTTAATGAAACCATGGATTTCATGGACCCAAAAATTTGCAACTACAGTACCAATATATCTGATGAAATGGGTTTTCTTCAAGCTATTGGGAACCTTACAAGGAATATCGCAGTTGATGCAGTTAAAAATGGAGGATTTAAGGTGGGTTCTATTTCTTTATCAAGATACACGGTTTATGGTTTGGGACAGTGTTGGAATTCCCTTGATATGGAGCTCTGTAGAGATTGTTTGGTGAAGGCTTCTTCTTCTGTGCTTTCCTGTGCTCCTGCCAGTGAAGCTCGGGCACTGAATACTGGGTGTTATATGCGATATTCTTTGACGAAATTTTACAATGATCCTAGTGCTTCCTACAAAGGCAAGCCCTCTTTCATGAACTCTGCATATGGGTTGACTGGCTACAATGTGATTTATTTTCTTATTTGTTGTAATTTTGTAAGAAATAGGTCCCAAATCAGGGTAATTTACTTTTTCTTAATTTGATAATTTATTTTATATTACTTGGTTAATTTTGCAGGAAACAAGTCCAAACTAAGAATTGTACTCTCTGCAACTTTACCTTCTTTATTTTTGGTACTGGGCCTCGTATTTGGGTTCTTTATTCACAGATCTCGGTTCTTGGAAGCAAAGCGAGGTAGTTTACTGTGGTAGTATTTACAGAACTATTTAATATAATTGAAAAAAGTGTGTGGAACCAGCGATGAAACACATGTTCCTGTGTGTTTGTAGATCGATCTAAGCTGCCTGAACTGCCAGAGACATTTTTCAACTCTAAGTTGAATTTCAAATATGAAACGTTGCGGCAAGCCACTGGTTCTTTCAGGTTGTCAAGAAAACTTGGTGAAGGCGGCTTTGGTTCTGTGTATAAGGTAGGGAATGATCCCCGCAGAATAAAAGAAGTGTCAGTCTTTCAATAAGAGGGAGGCATAGTGGCTTTAGTTGTGCAGCATTTGAGAAATTTTTTCTATTTTTCTTAATGAAATATTTAACTTATTGTGATTTACCATTTTCATTGCAAATTTAATTATTGTGATTTATCACATCTGCCTGATATCTCTATGCTTTTATGAAGAACATTTACCTTTACTGTTTCTTGAGAATGTCAATGCCATGAGTTGCTTGAAATGCAGCAACTAAAGACAGCAGTGTGGCATCTTTCTTTGACTTCATTCAATCATGGTATAAGATTTCGAGTTTATGGACCTTTCTATTTAATCACGTTAGTGTAACGTTGCATACCATTTCAGTTTTTTGTTAGGTTTACCAGCATTAAAGCATCATGTAGTTCCATAATGCTCCCTTGTCTTATGTCTGGACCAACCATGTGAGTTATATGCCTAGGTGTATGAGATCTGGTTCTGGCTCATGGAATATGCAACATTCTATGATTAATAGAGTACCCTGTTGATGTTTTACTTTATTGCTATTGGAATATTACTGCTAGTCTTGTGTTTAAACATTAAGTAAAGAACTTATCTTTATCTTTCGTTTAGGGTTTATTGTGCAGGCTAGCATGGTTACAGTGAGTGTTGACAGTTCACAGTACATCCTGGGTTTGAATCCCAGCATTTACCTAATATGTCTAGAAGACAGATGCGACATTTAAAGATTACTATTAATTAGCTATAAAAGGAAGAACCTACACAATCAAACTGACATTCAGAAGCACTTCACTGGGGGGATTAGAAATTTCATGGCTTCAGCATGGATATGATGGAAAGCTATCTCGGTCATATGAATAATTGCAAATTTCCTCCAAAATGTCCCTTCAAGGAAAAGAAAGCCGCATTCGTCCAATAGACTGCATTGAGAAAATCCTCTTTATTGATTAGAGAGTCAAAAAACAATGGCATAAAAATTCTGAGGTTAATAGAGCTCTAGCTTTGGCTTTGATGTAGTCCAATCTTAACACTTCTCACCATTCTCAGAAAGATTTTGACATTTTGTGCATAGCTGTATGCATATCAGTCCAAGTCTTTTCCCACATGCAAGGTTACTTTAACAACTTTCGTTATCCTGGAATTTCCTAGAAACTCAGGTATTTCCTAGAATCTCCTGGAAAAAACTATAATTTAAAACTTATACTAGACAGTACCTATGGACAATAGAGGTCTCAGATATTTGAATGTTAAAATCAGAGTGCCTTGGAACAAATAGGGCATGATGAAGCAATATTTTGTGCCACAACATGTTTGGAGGATTTCTTTTGCTTTCTTCTTCTGGAATTCTTGTTTCTTCTTTTTCTGATAATTATTTAAAATTTGTTCTTACATAGGGAACTTTTCCAGATGGAAGGGAGATTGCTGTAAAGAGACTCCTGGTAAACCGAACACAATCGATGAAAGAATTTTTCAATGAGGTGAATGTCGTAAGCAGGGTTCAGCACCCTAACCTTGTGCGCCTGTTGGGCTGCAGTATCGAATGCTCTGAGTCGCTTCTAGTTTATGAGTATCTTCCCAACAAGAGCCTCGACCTCTACTTATTTGGTCTCATACTCTTATTCCTCATTTTGTTTTTTGTGTTTTATTTGATATTATTTTGTTTTAACTGGGCCTCAAAAGTTTCCCACATCTATATATTTCTTTTTGTATGGGACTTCCCACATTTATATTTATATAGAATTTTTTTCTCATTCCCTCAGATTCAGACAAATGTATGGAACTAGATTGGGATAAGAGGTACAAGATTATGCTAGGTGCTGCAGAAGGATTGGCTTATCTTCATGAGGAATGCGAAGTAAGGATTATTCATAGGGACATCAAAGCAAGTAATATTTTACTTGATCATAAGCTGAGGCCTAAGATTGCAGACTTCGGCCTTGCTAGATTTTTTGGAGTAGATCGAACACATCTTGATACTGGAATTGCTGGTACAATGTGAGAATTTTGATTTCCACTTGAGATGGATGCCCACTTCCCAAATAAGAAAGAAATAAATCAAGTTTATTTCATTCATTTTGAGTTCGGATAACTGGATAGTTTATTGAAATGAAATTTTTTATGAAATTTATCTCTTCTTTCTGGATGTGGTTTTGCAGGGGTTACATTGCTCCGGAGTATGCTATTCATGGTCAATTGACAGAGAAAGCAGATGTGTATAGTTTCGGCGTCCTTCTTCTTGAACTGTTGAGTGGGAAAAGAAATAATGAGGCTCATAACTCGGAGAATTGTGATACTCTTCTCAACATGGTAAAAGAAATTGATTGCAAAAATATCCATCGCAGTATTCTGCTCCCATAGCTCTCTCTCTCTCTAGTCGTGGGAGGCAAGGCACACAGGGGAGTAGG